AAGGATCGATGAACACGCTTTTTGCAACCGACACCTTAATAGTCGATTGTGTTCTATATTTTCGAATAGGGAAATATCGATCATGGATTATTTACGCCTTGCCACCGCCCCTTACCCGAGCCCTGCGAAACGCACCCTGCGTCCTTCTCCCGCGCCAAGGAAGAACGAGAACGGCCTATGAACCTGCCAACGTTGTCGACTTTATTCCCATAAAACATGAATTTTTTATAAAACGTGCGAATATTCCCTTTGATTATTTTATAGAGTTTTACACGCACTTCAATTACGTAAGTGCGTGGACGTTCCAAGGGAATAAATTTAGAACTCCAGTCAGAAATATGTATTTTACCGGAGGATGTTTAGCAACAATCGGATTTTCATACGGCGTTTTCGCCTTAGCACGGGAGATAAGCATTAATTCGAACTTTTTGGTTTTAAAGTAGCATAGTTTTGTAAACAGGGGTTGCCGATGGGTCAGTTGCGTTGGTCACAGAATCGTGTTTTGATGCTTGATTCTTGTAGATTAGCCATAAAAATTCTAAGATCCGTCCAGACAGCAACTCTCGACGTTCACTATAAACCGAGATATCGCCCTTTGAAAATTCGGGTTTTTGACGTCATCCACCTGAGAGCTTTTTATGAGCTTTGGAGTTGATTGCAGAGAAAACCAGTGGCATTATCGTGTTTCTCGCGAAATTTGACGCAGGATCCAGTGCTTAAATCGCAAATTCCCGACACATGCAATAGCTCCATTGCCGTTTTGATTATGATTTCTCAAGGGCCGCTTCAATCACGATGTGCAACATACGGTCCTTTCATCGGCGAATCCAGCAAATTGGCAACATAGCCTTCTCTCCATTTAAACCTGTGGAAATGCATCGATTCTTCGGGGATAGGTGCTCCGACAATATTCGATGATTTAGCATAGGTCCAAATGGAGGAAATCCGGTGTTGCCAAATTGCTGGATCCGCCTCTGTGTCTTCTGGATGGACCCCTCCCGTCGGGCACATGAGCCTTTATTCGCTCAAGATCCAGGACGAAACTTTTGCCGGCCCGGAATGGGCTCACTTACGGCCGCCAGTTAGTTTCGGAGCATTACCATCGATAAAAAGACACCCGGCTCGAAGAGTTTATCGCCTCCAAGTTAACGGCGCCGCGTTTCGCCAAAAAAGCGGGCGCCCCTCGCGGAGTGGTGAATGGGCCGGGCACGGCATAAACGGCGGTGGGTCTTTATCCGGGTGCCGCGGGGCGGGGCGGGGCGGGGATCAAAGGGAGTGTTTATGGCGGAGCTGCGGCGTTGGCTTCACACTTGACTCGAATTTAACGGCTGTTGAGAAGTCTTGGGTCTCCCGCCCGGGAAACGAGCTCAATCAAAAGTAGCGGTCGGCTCGGATCGCGCGTCGCTTTTTGATTAACTTCGGAAGCTCTAAAACTGACTTTGTTATCGCCCTTCCAGACGAAGATCCCCCCCCCCCAATCGCCCCGCCTTGTTGCCCTTCAAGGGAGGGCGGGCGTCGTTAAGGTGGGTGCATCCCCGCACGCCGGGAAATCCGGCTCATTATACTTTGGTCGCATCCAGGAAAACGGGTCCGTGCCACTCATCTTTTTTTCTTCATTTTTCTTTAAATTCTGGAATGAATGGAGAGATTCTTCGAACCTTGTTAAAAATCGAGGAGTGGAATTTGTCGCTGGAGTCTTCATAGTGCACGAAAACCTCCGAATGATATGAATGCCAAGTGAAATTAGCACCATAAAAACGAATGCCTCTCCGCAAAATGAGCAGATTCCGCTCGGTGATCGTGTAAGTTACTCTGAAAAGAGTAGATTCCGCTCTGCATTTATATCACCTGCGGGCCAATTATTGAAATTGATAGATAAGGCGATAGACAAAGAAGACACAGGGAGAATGGAGCTATCCTATTGGTTGAAATGAGTGGTTCCAGTAGACTAAGAGAGAAAATGATGGACTAATTATCGGGTCCCTCGTGGGTTGCCGTTACATGGTCTGTTACCTACCTCCTCTGCCCATTGCAACCACCTGCTTCCACCAATGAAATCCCTCTATATCTCTTTCGTTTTCTTTGTCTATAGCTTTGTCTATCCATTTCAATAATCGGCCCGCTGGGGTTTTTAGACGCTGTTAAGAGTGTAGTTTATCTGTGCCGGAGCGCAGAACTTGGCTCCGACGTTTTCAACAATGAAGGCAGTGAGAACTATGTTCTGGGGATCTCATGAAGAAAATCATAGAAAAAGCGCCCGAGTGTTTATTACCTAACAGGAGGAAAACCAGCTCGCCTTCAGTTTTTAGGTATGCAACACGCTCATCCGCAGGGCAGAAAAAGGTAGGTGCCTCAAGGCGTTGCGTTGCTGTCATCAGCGTCACGACGTCATTCGTCGGCTAAAATGTAGAATTTAATTAAATGAACTATGGATGTGCCCGCGAATTCGGGTGTTTGGCTTTAAGAAACGAAAGTTCCAAAAACCTAATCGAATTGTTCCGGCTATCTTGAATTTTTCACCCGGCAGAATAAGATCCAATCTCTCACGGTAAACTCGGAGTGTAACAGTTGGACTTCATTTTGCAATGAGGGACTACTAATTGGACTTCATTTTGCATAGGAACTACAATGTCTGGCTTGGTTTAAAAACAACGTATGTACCATTAGTTTTTCCATGCACATAGGAGTTTTCATGGATGAGCCAGAAATTGTAGTTCCGAATTGCAAAATGTAGTCCAATTTTGGCTCAACCATAAAAACACCTATTTGCATACGTTGTTTCGCAATTGAGTTAGTTATTGCAGTTCCTAATTGCAAAATTTAGTCCAGTTGTGCAATATTTGTGCCATGATTACAATTGGACGTATTTCTGCCAAACGGAACTATGTGCATGAAGACATGAGCCCTGAGATCCATAAGAATATAAGCATAACAGGGCTCACGTCAAAGAGCACATAGTTCCGTTCGGCAGAAATTCGTCCAATTGTACTGAGGATGAACCAAAATCCAGGGTTTAGAAGGACCTCCAATAGTATGGCAAGTATTTGTGGCAATGGACGAGTAAGTTTTAAAAGCTTCTAAGAATGCCTTAAAATAGAAGCCTTTGCTCCTTTTACCTGTAATTCATGTCAACTATCGTATACAGAAGCATATGGAGTACATGAAGAAACTACGAAGAACTCTCGAATAGTTTGAAGAAATTCGATGAAAGGCGGTTTATTATAACACTTGTTTTGCACGCCATTAACATCATGCTTTGAGAAAGAGAACTTGGTAGAGTATTAATGCCACAAAGCATAGTTTCATCAGATTTATCGTCCCTGAGAGGAGAATGGATTTGCCGCGGATTGATCTACTGCACGTCATCGTGTTGCAATCCAACGACTGAGAACGCCGTAATGAATCGTCGTTTTCGAATTGTCTACGGAATCACGGAACCCAAGAGCGCTTCGGTGGACCCTTATCGAATCCATTCATAAAATGTTCAATCCTAGGATACGACCTTATTTATTACTCATTCATAGAAGGAAGCTCAAGATGGAAGGAATCATATTATGCACCAACATAGTGAATCGCGTCATCCAGTGAGTTTTTCAAAGAGTCACAATTATGTTCATGTCGCAAGTAGAGACTCGAGGTAACCGAGATCTCTCTTTATATTTATCGTAAATATTCAACAAAGGACCATTCTTCGACCATGCAAGAGATCTACTGACCTTTTCATCCTCATTATTTCAAGGCAATGACCTCATTTTTGGTGTTCATGATGCACAGAGATTTCTTGGTGTTTAGGTGTTAAATAAATATAGATGGCTCAATTCAGGAGCCGCAAATCTCAATTGCGGTGTTTCCAAGTTTCTGCTCTGTTTTTAAGTTTAAAAGGAAACCAACCATTTCTAGGGCTTGATATATTCACCGAATTTTCTTTAAAGAAGGAGAGCACCACGAAAATACTAGGAAGTTGTCGAGGTAGGTATTACGTCGTCGACTAGTTTTGCGATTGAAAGAAGAAGTAAGACGGGAAGTCTGCGACCCTGCAATCCGAGAAACATGGTTTCCGAACATAAACATCGATATCGACTCTTGCACGAAAATACTTGCAAGAGGATTAATCGGATGGAATCAATCAATATCTGCCTAAATACATCAGACTTTGGCTAATTTACTCTCGGCTTTTATTCTTTAAAAGAAAAATTAGCAACACTCTGACCCAGAATCTTGTGAGCATGTTTCATATCGACGGTGAAACTACCAAACCACGTATCTCGTTTGCGGTGTTTAAAAATCTACGCTCACATTTTATTTTTTTGAAGTAGACCAAATCAATATCATTCCTTGAAATTTTCACGGAATTTTCTCCGCACAAAGAGGAAAAATCACAGAAATTTTCAAGACTGGATGTTAAGTAGTTTTTCATTTAAAAAATAAAGTATGACAGGAAGTCTGCGACGTCGCAAACCGAGATACGTGGTTTGGTAGTTTCACCGTCGATATATAGTCTCCTCAGAAAATTCATGGAAAGTCTTGTAAATGGACATGTTGTTCAATTGTTTGTCCGAAAATGAAAAGTGAAGGGAAAGTAGGCAATTTATAATGTGGCCAGGCTAATTTTGGTTTAATGCGTTCTTTGACTTTTGAGGAGTGGAACTTGAAAATCTGGTATAAGCGCCATCAGGTAATGCTAAGATTGTGCATAATGTTACTTATCGGATGTTACAAAAAAAAAAAAGGTAATGCTTTTGCAACCCAATTCTGAATTTTTCTCCAGATGTTGTTTTTATATCATGCCGAAAAATGTCAATTAGTAGACCGTTGGATTCACTTTGAATCAGTGAAACAATTGCACAATCAAAGGAATATCCGATGGAGCTTATTAGGTTTTTAATTCCCCCTCTTCTTCCGTGGAAATAAATTTCTTCTTCAGTTCTCATCCCAAATGTTATGCCAGGTGAAACGGTCACCCTAGGAAAAGACCTCGTGCATTAAAAAAAGCTGCTCACCTGTAATATTCGTCTCTCCGACTGTGTTTTCACGCCAGCAGGAAGGTACCACAAGGGAATAAACACTGATTAAGAATCTGTTCTTTTCACCACGTCCTGCACTTAAATTTGAACGAATGCACTTCAAAACACGTTATAAACACAAAATAATGTAAAATGCGCGATGAGCAAGGAAACGAGGGGAGACACTGCCCGAATTATCTCCGGTAGGATCCGGTTCAGACGCAACTGTTTGAACAGTGAAACTTTCATCGGGAACTGATGTTCAATGTAAACAATATCCAGGAAACATTTGAATTATCGGCTGAGAGTAAAACTACACAAACGCCAATCACTAAAGACCAAATACATGTAATACAACTTTAAAAAAACGACAATTTGGTTAAGTAATCACGTTGCAAATCTTCAACAACTTACGAAATCGCGCGATAGAAATCGGAGTTATTGAGTAACCATTTTCCTCGTTCACTAGCCACAATTCATAAAGGCAAACCTTGACTTTATTTCCGAGCGTTATTTTGTTTTATGTTTTTTTAAAAAAAAAAGTTAGGTACAGCCAGGGAGTGGAGCGTTAGTGCCCCATGATGGAGGTTTATCGGTAAGGGATATTTACGTTTTTCCGGAATTCTCACTGTGACGCAATTTTCGAGGTAGTTTAGGACTTTTTTCCCGACTCGCGACGACGTATGGAACTTTTGACGGAAGTGGCGTGAAGACCTGCCAACGGTAAAAGCGTTGCGGGGGAAGCAGGGGTTTCCGGTGGCGGCACCGGAACTGGTTTTCAGGGCGGTGGGGCGCTTTGGGTTTCCGGTGGCGGGCGTTTTTCGGATTCCGAGGTGGGCGACGTGGGCTCGCCGCCGCGGTCTCGAGAGAACTGCCCGCGCCCGCCGCGCCGCCCGCCCGCCCGCCCGCCACGCGCAGGGTCGCCCGCGCCCGCGCCCCGCACGCACGCCCGCGCTCCAACCCCCTCCCTCTCCATTTCCTACGCCACTCTTTTTCGCGCCGTTTCGGAGGGGCCGCTAATGTTTTCGATTGAACCGCGAGGTGCTTGCACTTGGGCGAGTTGATGGAGTCCTCACGTTTGTCCGCGGATCTCCATTCCTACCATCCTTCTCGTCGGCTAATTATTGAAATTCATGGATGAAGGAATCCAGTATCAAGCCAACAGTTGAACCTATATATTTCTATCTATTGATGAAGAATATAGATGATCATTATGATAACCCAACTTAACTGTTTCATTAGTATATAAGGACTATTTTTAACTTCTATATAATTAAAAGGATTATAGATTATGTAGAACAAATGTTAACCACAACAATGTACACAAAGATCGCTTTTCTATTGGTCAATTTGATTAATATTATTTAGTTTGTAATCAAAGGTAAATCAAGTAAAGGTGGTTCAAGTATTTCGTAACGCACTGGGGGTGGGGGTGGGGGTTGCGCCATCGTTACTGTGCGTTACAAGGGGATCAAGCCCAGCGTTACGTAACAAATCTGAGCGGGGGGGGGGCAAGAAAAATACTTGCAACCAATTGAAAATCCCGCCCTTCCCGAATGAATCTTTCTCACCTTTGTTGATCTCTTCCTGTCGTATTTCAGCGGAATAGGTCCAAGAAAACCCCAGAATTTTTTCAAGCTATTTTCTCAGCGTTTTCTTGATTTTTTGAAAATTAAGGGGGGGGGGTGTCAGGCCAGCGTTAAGTAATTCAAAAGGGGGGTTCTAGGGCTACATTACGGGTGAGTTACAAGGGGAGGGGGTTGAGTGCGTTATGTAATACTTGAACGGCCCCAAAGCTATAGACATTTTCTTCAGTGGCGTGGCGTGCTATGCGATACATCGATTGATCGGTCATTTAAACCTATGGAAAAGTATCGATAAACAGGGTGTTCGCAGCGAACACCTTAATAATCGATTATTTACTACAACTTCAAATGGGAAAATATCGATAGATCGCAAAGCACGCCACGCCACTGATTGCTACATAGCATGGTGTAGAGGGCCGTGGATAACCGAGCGGAAATAACCGGAAAAGCCGGGATTTATCAGGGAGCTGAAGACCTGTGGGAATAACAAGGAAAAATCAGGGAGCCTGTAACAGGAAATCTCTTCTTCTATCGCTTAGAGACCATTTCGTCTACCAATTTTATGGACATTTTCTGTACCTATTATTATTAAGGTTCGTGTTATTGTACCGAAGTAGCCACCATTGACCTCAGTCATTAAATCATCATAATAGAGAAGATTTCATCGACCAGAGAAAATAAACATCGGGAACTTTTTTGAAGTGCATTTGAATAAGCGGCAATGAATCGCCTAAAGGATGAAAAAGTTGAAATTTTGCCCGTGCAAATCTCGGAGAAGTGGGAGAAAACTTCGGTTTCGTATGAGGGAATGAGCTCTTCAAAATGAAGGAAATATCTGGGAATGAGCATGGTCAATGATCAGAAGACCTACCTTAAGTTTGTCAAAATGAATTTCTTTTTTCGTATGTTGTAAATTTTGTAATGGCAAATCATTGTATTTTCTTTCAAGGGTCCATTTTCAAAGTCGTTTTTAATGCTGAATTTCATTCGAGGTCGGCAAAAGTCATTTTTATGATGTCATGTTAAGAACCTCTTTGAACTCCTCTTAAAGCTTATGCAAACTTCTTCGTAAATCGGTCCATGAAATATTTCATTACAGGGGAGAATAAAATTGAGAGCGTAGAAACGACTGTTCACCATGCCTCTCGCGGGGGAGTGATACTCAGTTGAATACGTTTATTTGCAAAGAAATTCGGATACAGTGCGTTGAGTTTGGAGAAAACGTGGGACATGGGAAGCGATGGAGTCATTAATATTCTTGAGCGGAACTCTTATTTGACGGGTGTCGAGTCGCCACTTGGACTCGTCCAGTTCACCCATCCATGTCACCCAACTTGGATCAAGGGGTCGCATCGAATAACGACAATCCGCTGAAAATTTGTCTCTTGCGAACTTTTGCCAGAGCGATAAGAAGAGTCGCGCTTGAAGATGATGATGAATGCACCAGGGAAGTCTGAAATTTTCTCAAAACTTCACAAACTGCGTAAAAAAGGGTCTTTGTACAAGGTATGAACTAAAGGACTAAGCAGTATGCTCGTTTATATTCGAAATTCTCGAAAGAAATGAATTGCAAAACGAGGAGTATGGAGATCAACTCCTGAACAAGATATCATCGGTGTTTTAAATTAACGTTGGTAATATTTATTTGGTCGTTGGATATCAAGAGGTAAAACTTGTTAAGTAGAAGTAATTTTGCAGACCGACTTACGTTTTTTTCTGTTTCACAATGCAATTTCATCAATTCGTTCACAAGTCTTCAATGATATAAAAGTTCAACTGTCAACGATTTCAAATGTTTAACTGATTGAAATATTGTTAAATTCTAGTCTTACATCATTTTAGGTATGATAAGTCTAATGAGGTAACCTACTTTCCATTCAATACAAGTCGTCTTGCGTTAACTAATTGTGACATCTTCTGTTGCTGTCGAATGCCCAATAATTTAAATGACTTATTTGAGTGTTCCCGAATAGATTTTAGAATCTTAAAAATATTTCATTCCGAAATTCTCGATTTCATTACCAACGGCAACAACAAATTAGACACAATGTCATCTCGACGTTTGTTTGGAATCTTCGAAATACATCCATTTATTATTAAATCCACGCCAAATAATAAGTTTACGCCCATATAGACTGCGACAGAAGATCTGCCAGTTTAAATGAATTCATGGTTACTTTATCAGATGATTGTCAATGTTTGAGTACTTTTTAGTCTTCGGTCTGGATATGTTTAGATTGTGTTGCAGGTTCATCTTCAGGTCGAAAAGTCGGACGTAAAAACGCTAACTTGTCGATAATTTAACGTAAATAAAAATAAATACGTTGCACTGCACTTTACTTCACGTTATCAGCGCGTATCTGTTCAGTGTTCACTCATCCGTGATTCTAATTCCGTGAGATCCGGCAAGGAGGGGAGGGGAAACAGGTGTGCCATTTGACTTTCTACCTAGGTGTTCAATAATTTACCAGTTTCTTTTCTTTTTCGATCGTGTCCGGATGTTCATTTTCCTGCTTTTTTTGCATTTTCTTAGGATGTCTATTCTACATTTGTCCACTAAAAACAATCTGAGCGTACCAGGATCGAAGACTAAAAAGTATGTGTACGTAAACATAGAAGATCTCGCACCCTCCATCGTAATCGAGGGGGATAGCGTTCTCAGTAAATTTTGTTTAAGCCTAAAGTATAATTCCTGCCTTTATTTAGTGTCTATTTTGTAAGCCAATACGGCATTTTGTAATTAATTGTTGCTTTATAAATAAACAAATGAAAAACATAGAAGATCTGCCATTTTGAGCATTTCATATGCCTTAAACGCCAAACTTACGTCTCGCAATCTTCTGTCGAAGTCGAAAAGTGCGTAAACTTATTTGGAATGGACTCTATTTCAGGATCAGAAAACCAGACGCAAATCAAGGCAGGAGTTCTTGTAATTCCCGAGGACAAAGCCAGAGTTCAATGACAGACTTGAAGCTACGTATGAGTTTTAGATTTGCCTTCATTTTCGGACGATACCACACATCACAACATCAGAGTTCGAATAGTTGTATCTCAATTTACCTCACCAGGTTGCGATCTCATCACTGCAATTTTGTTGATTTGCGCCGTCATAAATTGCCCTGCAGTGGATTTGGCCCTTATTGTGGCCAAAACCTTATATTTTGCGGTGCTATCAATCGATCGAGTTGAATAGTGGACGTCTAAACGAGGCATAAATTGTGGCGTTGAGCAGCATATTATTTCATCGAAATTTCTCGAGGAACTTTAGGAAACAACTTCGGAACATATAAGTGTTGTTCAATCAATATTGGTCAACGGGTAAAAATGCAACTGGTCAGTTGCTCTGGTCACAGAATCGTGTTTTGGTCCTTAATTCCTCTGGATCAGCTAAAAGTAAAAAAATCTGTTCAAACATCAACTTTCTACGTTCAACATGAACCGAGACATCGCGCTTTGAAAAGTCGAGTTTTTGACGCCATCCATTGCGGTAGTGACACCCTTGGTTTCTTCCACCTTGCTTTTATCCGAGTTTCACGTTGAGGAACCGATAAAAATGTGTCTCCTTGTCAAATTTCAAGGTGGAAGAAACCAAAAGTCACGCGGTGAATGACGTGATTAAACGATTTTTTTTTAAAACCGCGATATCTCGGTTAGTTTTTTAATGAATATTGAACAAAGGAAGTTGATGTTTTAGCAGATCTTATTTTCTTCAGCTGATCTAGAAGAATTAAGGATCAAAACAGGATTCTGTTGCCAGCGCAAGCTACCCATTGCCGAATCGCGTTCATTTAGTGTTCACCAGCATCATTTATTGAACTAAACATGCTAAAATGATTGTCAGACCTTTGTCAGAAAAATATTTTGTAGCAGGAAATTTGCAACGTTGCAAGTAAGCGAGATACATGGTTTTGTACTTTCATAATCGATGTTCAAGCTAACCCTTAAACGAGGTTCAGTGTAACTAATGCGTTGTGTAAAGTCAATATCTCGGATATTGAAACTTTTTCGTGGGCTATGATTTTGTGGCACGAGGGAGCACGTTAACATTTCAATTCAAAATCCCTCCCAACTCTCTAACTTGGTTTTTTCCTCTCGAAAATTTGGTTGGCTCCCTTTCCGAAAAACTCAATCCAAGCGCACTAAAATCTTGAAAACTCAATGAGAGAATCTTCGACGTGAACTTTTCTACAGAGTCGTCCCCTGTAAGCCGGAGTCTGGAGGTGAATTATCTTTAAAATTGCCGCTTTCAATTTCAAAACCTCCCAAA